ACTCTGCCATCAAGAAACTAAAGCCCAAGAAGTCTACTGGAAGTAACAATATACCATCTTACATACGTATACAACGGATGTTCAGAATTTTTGGCAAAACTTCTATCGCACATCTTCAGATTATCCATTAAAAATAACACTTTTCCAGACAAACTTAAGACTGGTATTGTTACACCAATTCATAAAGCCAGAAAAGTCAGTGAAATTGAAAATTACAGACCTATTAGTGTGTTAATCTCCTTGGCTAAAATTTTAGAAATAGGTAAATGAAAATATTAAGAATCCTATGGAAAGCAGGCTGTTTAAGGAGCAACATGGCTTTATCAGTGACAAATCTACTTCACAAATAATGTATCATCTACCATTAATGATAAGAAACAGTTGGATGTAGTGTATACGGATTGTGTCAAGGCTTTCGAAAAGGTAGACCATCAGATATTGCTGGGGAAGCTTACTAAATTTATCTTTTCAACAAGTGCCTACATTTTTATTCAGTCATACTTAACTAATAGAACGGAATCTGTAAAGCATCTAGTGTTCCCCAAAGTAGCAATCTGGGTCCTATATTATTTACCATATTTCGAGGGGTGTTTCACATACTAAATTGTGTACACCACTGTATTTGACTGCATTGATTGCATCAAAAATGATAGTTGACTGCATTGACTTTTGAGCAATATCTAACAAGATTGCAGGCTCCACTCGCAACGACTGCTTACGATTTTTCGGGAGTGTATATGGAATGTACGCTAATGCATATGACTGCACGGAATTTATAACGATTGCAAACGACGAGACAAGCGACTATATTATGACTGCACGAGTCCATGTATTCCATTGACTGCATGAGAATGTATAATAATAATTTCCTTTATTTAGCACTTGGCTAATATAAGTACATTATTTTTTACAATTTCACAAAAAAGACTAATAAAAAAAAATTAAAACTAAAAAATAAAATAAAGAAACAAGTGTTATACAAATTTGCTCCCTATGCTACACCTATTTAACTGACCTAAATTAAAAATTCAACCTTATGCCAATACATTTCTTATCATTCCCCTATTAAGTGTTTTTTCAATTTTGTCTTGAATAAATTTAATTTTGAAATATTCTTGATATGATCAGGTAAAGAATTAAACACAATTTCACTTAATCAAGTATGGACTGCAGAAGAATGTATGGACTGCATATACATGAATGTATAATATTTGTACACCTACTGCATGAGTGAAACACCCCTCGCCATATTTATAAATAGTTTACCTAGTGTCATTGAACATTACGATAGTTTGCTCTTTGCCGATGATTTTAAAAATTTTAAAACTGTATTGTGTCAAAATGACTGTGCTTTGTTACAAGTTGATTTAAATAGTATTGTTGATTGGTTCTCAAAAAATAACATGTTTTTAAATGTCGATAAATATTGTGTAATGTCATTCTCCTAAATCAAATCTAGTCAAACATGATTTTATGTTAGATAGTAAGATGCTAAAGCGTATAGATAGCATTAAAGATCTCGGTGTATCTTTTCAGCCATCTCTTAGATTTAAAACTCATTATGAGTATACATATAGTGAACAAGGCATACAGCGCTCCAGGATTTATCATTAGGAACAGTAAACATTTTGTACATATCAAGTTGAAATTTCACTCAAATGAGCTCCAATTCTTCCTCTTTTCATCCAGAAAATTTCAAAATTATTCCTGCAACAGTTTTCCAGGAAAAAAATTAAATATGCGAGAGTGTTTTTTGTAAAATCTAGTTTCTGGAAGTTGATTTTCAAGAATTTTTTGTGTTGATGTTTGTCACTGTATCAAGTTAAAATTTTACTTAAATGAGCTTCCATCCTTCTTCTTTTCATCCAGAAAATTTCAAAATTATTCCTACAACAGTTTTCCAGAAAAATAATCAAATATGCGAAAGTGTTTTTTTGTAAAATCTAGTTTCTGGAAGTTTATTTTCAAGAATTTTTCGTGTTGATGTTTTTCACTGAATCAAGTTGAAATTTCACTTAAATGAGCTCCTATTCCCTCTTTTCATCCAGAAAATTTCAGAATTTTTCCTATAACAGTTTTCCAGGAAAAAAATTAAATATGCGAGAGTGTTTTTTGTAAAATCTAGTTTCTGGAAGTTGATTTTCAAGAATTTTTTGTGTTGATGTTTTTCACTGAATCAAGTTGAAATTTCACTTGAATGAGCTCCTATTCTTCCTCTTTTCATCAAGAAAATTTCAAAATTATTCCTGCAACAATTTTCCAGAAAAAAAATTAAATATGCGAGAGTGTTTTTTGTAAAATCTAGTTTCTGGGAGTTGATTTTAAAGAATTTTTCGTGCTGATGTTTTTCACTGAATCAAGTTGAAATTTCACCTAAATGAGATCCTATTCTTCCTCTTTCTATCCAGAAAATGTCAAAATTATTCCTGCAACAGTTTTTCAGAAAATAGTATATTAAAGTATAAGTGGATATTAAAAAGTTGACATTATGACTTTACCTTTCTTAAGCCTAGTACTCATAACAGCGAAACTCGCTCTTTTTTGACATTGCTTCGACAATTTGATGTTAAATGCGTGATTCAAACGTCAAATTGTCAGAGCAATGTCAAAAAAAAAACGAATTTCGCAGTTATGAGAACTAGGCTTTAATTGGGTTGTAGATGTTGTCATGGGTAACTTTAAAACACGCGCGTTTTTAAATGTTGGATTGAAACACGCTGAGGAGTACTTTAAATAAGTAAAATAGGTTATCAATAAAAAAAAAATCAAATATGCGAGAGTGTTTTTTTGTAAAATTTAGTTTCTGGGAGTTGATTTTCAAGAATGTTTCGTGTTTATGTTTGTTACTGAATCAAGTTGAAATTTCACTTAAATGAGCTCCCATTCATCCTATTCTCATTCAGAAAATTCCAAAATTATTCATGCAATAGTTTTCTAGAAAAAGGATCAAATATGCGAGAGTGTTTTTTGTAAAATTTAGTTTCTGGGAGTTGATTTTCAAGAATTTTTCGTGTTGATGTTTGTCACTGAATCAAGTTGAAATTTCACGTAAATGACTTCCCATTCTTCCTCTTCTCATCCAGATAATTTCAAAATTATTCCTGCAACAGTTTTCTAGAAAAAGGATCAAATATGCGAGACTGTTTTTTGTAAAATCTAGTTTTTGGAATTTGATTTTCAAGAATTTTTCGTGTTGATGTTTGTTACTGAATCAAGTTGAAATTTCACTTAAATGAGCTCCCATTCTTCCTCTTTTCATCCAGAAAATTTCAAAATTGTTCCTATAACAATTTTCCAGGAAAAAAATTAAATAGGTATGCGAGAGTGTTTTTTGTTGTTATAAAAATGTGTTGACTACACTATCATAAATCATAGAATATCGGATGAGGAGGCAATGCCTATTTTGTAATTGAAAATATCATCCAAAACAAACAATATGCGACTTATTTATTCGAGTCTGTTGCACAATAATCAATTGGACCGAGAATTGGACGTTCCTTGCTGCTTGCATTGACTCTATCACATTCTCATATTTTCAATCATTTTCTCCTTCAAAACAATTAAACCAAGCAACCCTGTTAGAGATAAAAGTAGTAGCAAAGAACATGCGTTATTAAAATTACAAAAAAGTCTTATTTTTGTAGGCGTCTAGATTAGTACAAAAAAAAAAATGTTGAAAACTTAGAGACCCATTGAATGGTAAAATTACCCTCTTTCATAAATCTATTATACTCTATTGAATCCATCCTTTCCTATTCAATGTCATCATCTTGGAGATCCAGATGTGCACTTTTTGCGACACTAGGTGGATCGTCACGCGACGTGTGCGCACGGTTTCTGCGCATTTCGACACCCCGTACTATCTAGAGAAAATGCTGCACACGCGCGGAACGGTGCGCGAGTCTATACGCAGCCTAACAGCCATTGAGTACGCATGACCTGACGATGACGTTGAAGTTAACAGGTCTGTTTCTGCAGAAATCAAAAACCACTCAAAGCGAATTTCATTGGATGAAAACGGTCAGAAACAGTCAGAAAACTACAAAAAAAAAACTTTATTTTTTCCCAAGATAGATTTTGACATTGAAAACTTTGAAACATAAACAATAACGCTTGACCCTGATTGGTGGCAAAATGAGGTGTTTCTGCAGGTTGACATTAGTTTTACAATAGCGACCAATAAGCAGCATAAGCGGCATTGTTTATGTTTCAAAGTTGACAATGCCAAAATCTATCTTGGAAAAAAATAAACTGTAGTTTCTCTGATACAGCAGAAAACCATAAAACTTCCCGTCACGATTCTAAGCAAAACCTAAAATTTGTGCGAAGAATCCGAAATTCGTGTACACAGTGGTTTCGAAACCGTTCATGGGATGGTTTTTGATGACATTATGTTGGCAATACAATGTAAAATTGTCAAGCTTTCAAATTTTTTGTGTAGAAAAGGCTTGTGTTGCCAACACAGTTACTAAATTTTTGACTTGGGGAATTAGCTTTAAAAAAAAAAACAGACTTTATTTGGTCAATTTATGAAATAATTTCAACACCAGTGTACATTTGCCTTAAAAGTTAGTCTCTCGTAATATAAGAGCCTATGTGAATGGGACCTGAACTTATCAAAGTTTTGTTTAAAAACTACAAATGCAGCCCTTGTCATTGGAGAACATTCTTAACATAAACTATTCTTGGGTATGGGTAACAAAGAAGATAATACAGCTTTGTTTTAGTCCAGCCTATTTTCAGCTGACTTTGTTGTCACGTCACAAAATACCCTTCATTATTGCATTTCAAGTTGCTAATATTAGACAAGCTTATTGAATATGAACCAACAAAGAACAAGGTGATTCAAAACCCTCATTAGTTTTCCCCTATTTAGGAATTCAATTCAAAAACAATTATTTCCGCATGCAGGTATCATCACTAGTCATTACACCATACATGACCTACATTTAATTACAAGAGATTATATTACAAGCCTTGACTTCAGAAAAGCTTTCGTTTCAGACCGTGATAAAATAGAAGCCGGCTCAAAGGCCCATTATTCTACATAGGTTTCTGAGAAAAAAACGGGTCATTATTTCTTGCGGAACCATCAAAGTAAAAGTACCACAACCACGAGGCAAACTTTGCAGGTCAAATTTGCCGTACGATACTAAGAAACGTCTTTTTTTTTTGTTGTGATGGTTTACCTTTTACCGCCCTCGTAGGCCTCCCACCAGACTGAAACTGAAAAATAAACTTCCTAGTTCCTACAATTCCAGGGCTTCAGCTTCAGTCGGGCACAGCCAGGGAAGCGTGTTCCTTTCCCCAATTCAAATAATTCACAATTCTAGGGAAGCGGGGAAAAGTCTAAAAACAGCCGATCCTAAACTTTTTTCCCCCCACCATTTAACCATCCTTGTTCAACTCATGGAATGCCTTAGAATTTTCCCTCAAGGTCACTCATTCCCAGTTAAGCTTTCCAAAATGGCCGCCTTCAATTCGACCAATAGGACGGTAGAGTTTGCGCAAGAACCTACTTCAGGCTCCACCTTTTTCCGTTCATGATTACATGGGTATGGGGTCATTGATATCCTAGAAACGGTAGGGGAATGATTACTACGTAGGCTCCGATTTTAGAAGAGTAGTTTATTTAGTAATGAGACTGATTGGATGAACGTAAGCCTTGCGGAATAAGAAAAAATTAGTGAATGATTTTGATAGTGACGATGGTTGCGGAAGAGAGGAATATTTGTGCCCAAAAACGTAGTAAGTCTGATAAGTTATTTGAAAAATATTAAGGTAATGATATTTTCACGTGAGTTAATTTGATTATTAAAAATGCTCTATCAAAGTGAATCTTTCTAAAATTTTTCAAGTAACTTCAGGGCTTTACTGTTGTTTTTCATTGGCTACAACTATGTGTTGTATGTTTGACAATAAATAGATGAATCATTCCACTTTTAACTGTTAGTTCAAGACTGTTGCTAAAAATAAATTGTTCAAATATTATGCAGGCATAAATAAAATCAAACACCTACGGAAGTTTTTTTTTTCAGTTCTCCAGTATACCTATATGATAAAATTCAAAATTAATCTATTTTAAATCATGTTCTTTGACTGTGTTGAGTATGTTAATTCAAAAGATTCAAAAAGAAATAAAATGTGTGTACTAAGATTTCAAAAAAAACTTACTCCAAAAAACTGGAATTAATTCTCATTGAGTATGTTAATTCAAAATATTCAAAAAAAAATAAAATGTCTGTACTAAGATTCCTAGAAAACTTCCAAAAAACTAGAATTAACTCTCAAAAAATCGAAATGATTGTTAAATTCTACAATGCAAAAGACAAATCGTGGCGATGGACTGGAGAATTCTGTTGAAAACTAAGTTTCAGAAAAACTTAATAAAAATCTTGTTTTAGCAGAAAGAGAAATCTACTGCACCTTTCTTTGTTGCCGAGGCAAAATATGTAGGTAGTACCGAATTTTAGCAGAGACCGCAATATTTATTTTGTCGTATAAGAAAAAAACGACAAAATTGTGGTTTTGTACCGAAATAACCAACTAATAAATAGACATTTTTTTCTACTGAGCGTTGAATTCGAAATTACTCGAAATATGTGAAATTCAAGTGGATAAAACGACCAGAATGTCATTAGTCAAAATAGGAATCCTAAATGAAATTGAAGTTTTGATGAAGCATGGTCCTATTCTAACCTACTTATAGAATTCAGTCAGGGACATACTAAGCAAGAATCTTGTATTTGGAAAAGGTATTCAAAATTCAGTAGGAATTGATAAGTATAGTATTTTTAATACCCATTTAGAATAATTTCATCCTTATTTATCAATCACGAATCAGATGAAACAAAAAATTACCAACAAAAACGAACGTCGATTGCTAATACGTCAATGTCATGTACAAATAGGAAATTCCTAACCTAATTCTTTTTGTCTGTTCAAGAAGCGACATACGTTTAGTCACTAGAACGACTGGTACTTCTAAATAGGTATTAAAATTTCTATAGGTAGCTCTTCACACCAATATTTGATGCTTGGTGTGATGATCGGTTATGAGAAAAAAATATAGATATATAGTTTCTAATACCTATTTGGAAAATTGGAAGTACCAGTCGTTCTTAACGTATGTCAGTTCTTGAATACACAAATAAAATTAGGTTAGGAATTTCCTATATTGTAAGTACATGAAATTGACGTATTTGCCATCGGCGTTCGTTTTTGTTGGTAATTTATTGTTTCATCTGATTCGTGATTGATAAATAAGGATAGAGTTATTCTATGTCTATGGTTATTCTAAATGGGTAATAAAAATACTATATAATGAAACTAATTAAATAATGGATGCACGTCATCAATGATGTCGAAATTATTGCCAATCGCATTTTGTAAGAAATTAAAATTCGTTTTAAACTCAGAGCGCATTTTCCCTTTTGTTTTACCCAAGGGGCAAACCACATAGGAATTCTTTGCCAAAACTGTGAGAAATTTAAAGGAATTTGTGGGGAATTTGAAGGAACCCATCGGAATTTATGAGAATTTGGGGAATTTATAGGGAATTCGGGGAAATTTATGGAGAATTTGGAGGAATTTTTGAGGAATTTAAAGGAAATTGTAGAGTCATGACGTCACTGAGGTTCACATTCTTATTATAAGAAACACTTATAAATGGAAATTTACTCGGAAATTCAACAAAAATCTAGTTTTGTGTTGAACGTTGGTCATTCATTTTCATTTAAGAAATTCTCCCAAAATTTCACTTCATGATTTACAGGTCCAAATTTAAAAAATTCAAAACAATAATGAATACAGTTTTTGTAGGCTGACGTCCAAGATTCTTCATGTTGTTATTTTAGAATGGAAAAATTTGAAATTTTGGAAAAATGAGCTTCTCACCTTCCTCTCCACATGCAAAAAGTTTCAAATTTTTCCGTTCACTAGTTTTCCAGGAAAACTTTGAAATGTGTGAGACGGTACTTCAACTAATTCAGTTTTTGTAAGTTGATTTCCAAGATTCTTCATGTTGTTATTTTCCACTGGAAAAATTTGAAATTTTGGGAAAATAAGCTTCTTACCTGACTCTTCACATGCAAAAAGTTTCAGAATTTTCCCTTTACTGGTTTTGCAGGAAAACTTTGTAATGTGTGAGACTGTATTTTTAATTAATTCAGTTATTGTAGGTTGATTTCCAATATTCCTCATGTTGTTATTTTCTACAAGAAAAATTTGAAATTTTGGGAAAATGAGCCTTTAGCCCTTTAACCTTTCTACTCTTCACATGCAAAAAGTTTCAAATTTTTGCCTTCACTAGTTTTCTAGGAAAACTTTGAAATGTGTGAGACTGTATTTTCAATTTATTCAGTTATTAGAGGTTGATTTCCAAGATTCTTCATGTCGTTATTTTCCACTGGAAAAATTTGAAATATTGGGAAAATGAGCCTCTGACCTTCCTTTTCACATGTAAAAAGTTTCAAAATTTTCCCTTAATTAGTTTTCCGAGAAAATTTTGAATTATGTGAGACTGTATTAACAATTATTTCAGTTTTTATAAGTTGATTTCCAAGATTTTTCATGTTGTTATTTTACACTGGAAAAATTTGAAATTTTGGCAAAATGAGCTTCTTCCCTTCCTCTTTTTATGCAAAAAGTTTCAAATTTTCCCTTCACTAGTTTTCCAGGAAAACTTTGAATTGTGTGAGACAGTATTTTTAATTAATTCAGTTATTGTAGGTTGATTTCCAAGATTCTTCATGTTGTTATTTTCTACTCTAAAAATTTGAAATTTTGGGTAAATGAGCTTCTCACCTAAATCTTTACATGCAAAAAGTTTCAAAATTTTTTCCTTCACTAGTTTTCCAGGAAAACTTTGAAATGTGTAAGACTGTATTTTCAATTAAGTAATTCAGTAATTATTGTAGGTTGATTTCCAATATTCCTCATGTTGTTATTTTCTACTGGAAAAATTTGAAATTTTGGGAAAATTAACATTTAAGTAAGGTTTCTACTCTTCACATGCAAAAAGTTTCAAATTTTTGCTTTCACTAGTTTTCCGCGAAAGCTTTGAAATGTGTAAGACTGTATTTTCAATTAATTCAGTAATTAGAGGTTGATTTCCAAGATTCTTCATGTTGTTATTCTCCACTGGAAAAATTTAAAATTTCGGGAAAATCAATCTCTAACATTCTTCTTCACATGCAAAAAGTTTCAAAAATTTTCCTCAGTTAATTTTTTAGGAAAATTTTGAATTGTGTGATACTGTATTAACAATTATTTCAGTTTTTATAAGTTGATTTCCAAGATTTTTCATGTTGGTATTTTCCACTGGAAAAATTTGAAATTTTGGGAAAATGAGCTTCTCACCTTCCTCTTTACATGCAAAAAGTTTCAAAATTTTCCCTTCGCTAGTTTTACAGGAAAACTTTGAAATGTGTGAGACTGTATTCTTAATTTTTCAGTTATTGTAGGTTGATTTTCAAAATTTTTCTACTGGAAAAATTTGAAATTTTGGGATTATGAGCTTCTAACCTTCCTCTTCACATGTAAAAAGTTTCAAAATGTTCCCTTACTTAATTAGTTTTCCAGGAAAACTTTGAATTGTGTGAGACAGTATTTTTAATTAATTCAGTTATTGTAAGTTGATTTCCAAGATTGTTTATGTTGTTATTTTCCACTAGAAAAATTTGAAATTTTGAGAAAATGAGTCCCTTACCTTAATCTTCATATGCAAAAAGTTCCAAATTTTTCCCTTCACTAGTATTCCAGGAAAACTTTGAAATGTATGAGACTGTATTTTCAATTAATTCAGCTTTTGTAGGTTGATTTCAAAGATTCTGTTTGTGTTACTTTCCACTGGAAAAATTTGAGTTTTTGGGAAAATGAGCCTCTAACCTTCTTCTTTACATGCAAAAAGTTTCAAAATTTTCCCTCAATTAGTTTTCCAAGTAAAAATTTGAATTGTGTGAGACTGTATTAACAATTATTTCAATTTTTGTAATATGTATGTTGTTATTTTCCAATGGAAAAATTTGAAATTATGGGAAAATGAGCCTCGAACCTTCCTGTTCACGTGCGAAAATTGTTTAAAATATTCAATATCGATAAAATTTCAAAATCACCAGAAATTGCCATTTTTCAAAAAGTTTTTCACCAATCACCAGATTATTCACCAAATCACCAGATCTGGTGAAATTCCACCAGACCTGGCATCACTGGAATGTAGAGGAATTTGTGGGATACCTATATGGAGAAATTTGTGGTGGGGTATTTGGAAAAATTTGTGATGGGATATCTGGAGGAATTTGAGGGGAATTTGCAGGAATTTTGAGGAATAATGCGTAAAAAATTCCCCTTGGAGGAATTGTTTGCACAAATTCTGGGATGGTGGTTTACCCCTTGTTCTCGGCCCTTAAATTGTCTGAAGATTGAAATTTGAGAGTTTGAATTAAAAACAATGTCTACTTTTTCGCCAATGTTTTCTCAATGTTTCTTAAAATTTCCTGTCTACTCGTGTGAGCAAAAAAATCAAAGAAAAACTAAAAAAAGAACTGTAAAGAAAACAGAAAACGAGAAATGGAGGGAAAAAACTTCTAGAAAAGCTAGGAAAAACTGAAAAAGAATAATAAAGTAGGTAGGAGTGAAGTAAGAAAATGGTAAAAGAGAGTAATTTCTCAATTTTTGTTTATTCTCGGCTCTTGAATTGTCTGAAGATTGAAAATTTGAGAGTTTGAATCAAAAACAATGTCTACTTTTCCGCCAATGTTT